TAGATCCAAAAAATGGTATTTGAAGATTTTATTTCATTTCTTAGGTCTAATATGTGTAAATGCTTGGCTTTTATGGAGAGAAAGATTTGCTGATTCAGAAATGTATTTGCCACTTTCTGAATACAAACAAGGAATAGCTGAAGTGCTAACAAAATCAAAAACAATTTTAAAAAAGCGCAGCAGACCAAGCAATCATTTACAGCCTAAATTAAATCTAAAAAAACGGTGTAAATATCCAGAACGTCGAGCAAAATCCTTTGTAATGTGCACAAAATGTAATGTTCACCTTTATTTGAATAAAGATAGAAACTGTTTCTTTAATTTTCATGTAGAATAAATTTAAATCTATAATGTTATATTTTTTGTAATGCAATTAAAATCAAATATTACTAAATGTCTTGTTAATTTTTGCTTATACATACTTCAAATTGTGCCATTGCTACATCGGTCTATCTTATACAGGTGTTCAAAAATGTAACTACTGTTTTACCATATTCAATTGCAAAAAAGTCGAAAATTTTAAATGGAACACCCCATATTTGATTAGCTTATCAGGTAGAGAATTTAATTCTCTACAAATCTTCAGTACATGTCCCTATATGTATCTGTTACAGTTGTTGAGATAGAGCGGAATGAATCAAAGTCATGCAAAGAATGGCAGATAATATTTTTTTTTCTATTAGTAGGCTATGAAATATATGCATGTGACAGCTTTCAAGTGATGCCACCATAATTATTTGTAATATCACAGGCGATAAGCATTGACTTGATTCAAATTAAAAAAAATAACAAGTTAACGATGACAAATTAAACGAATTTTTAAATGTCATATTTTTATTAATAGTTTATAGTTTTGTTGTTTTTAAACTAGGAGGAGCATTTTAAATTTCTCACCAGGATTACCCTGCACGTGATTGGTTGAATGCGAGGAAGGTTTATACACAGGCAATTTAGATTTTGAATTTGGAGGTTAGGTTATTGATCATTCGACCGTTTCGTGTCACTATTATCAATTTTGTGTTCTTAAACCCTTTTGCGTGTAATACTTCAATTTAATTGAGTGAAATCTAATTATATTTTAAAATAAATATACTCATAACTTCAATGTTAATTTGTATGTTTAGTGTTGACGATAACAAACGAAAATAAATACAATAATAAGTAAATAAATAAATAATAATAATTATT